CGTGGTGTTTGTGGGAAGAACTGAGAGGCAGTGCTATTTTAAAATGCTGCTTTTCAACATTTTAAACCCTCTGCCCCCTGCAAACTGTGGCCATAAAGTTTCCAGCAGCAATTTTCCCCATGATATTCCAGACCAAATTCCAAGAGGAAAAAATGATGGTCGCTCCATCAAAATTCCCCTCACAGTTACAACTTCCCATTAAATGAGTGGAAATTTGAATTCCTTTTAGAAGGCTACAATTACAGCAGATTATTACGCTTCCCTCTAATTACTGCATATAAATACATACCATGTAACACAGTTTATTGTACCCTGTTAGTGTACTTACAGTAAATAGAAACCAATATTGCTTCATTCAGCACATGTATTTTGACATTCACATCAGAGTTACCAATTTATCTTCATTACAACCCCTTGCACTGTTACTGACATCCTTCTCAGAGCTACGCTCAAGCATCACAGCAGGAAGATTGATGAGGCTTGTATATACTGATTTGCAACAAAAGTAAGGCACTTCAGAGGCACTGTTACTATTCTGATAGCATTAAGTTGGCTAAAAATTAGCTGTACTAATCCAACACTCTGCTCCCACTTGTCTTCCTCATTAATTATGGTACATGACTTGGACCTTGAAAGGCTAATGCTGTTGCAACAGTATTTTTAAACCTATTGTCTTCAGTTACTTTTTCACTGTTGAAGAGATTTGAAGTTCTGACCATGCTTATTAGTGAATAGTTTTATTCTTTAGAGAGGCTCTGAATAGGTAAGTTTTCCACCATGACAAACATTAAAAGATAATTTCTGAATGAATCTACAGTGGTCAATTTAAACATAGTTTGGAGGAACAGAGGGATACTATGGATACAATCTTCAAAAATGGCTAAGTAATTTAGGAGCCTGCACCACATGTGCTCATCAAGGAGAGACTGAATAGCCTCAGCACTTTAAAAGCACCAACTTATTATGTACATTTATCAAGAGGATGAAGAGGTCATCTCTCACTACAGGCAATTTATCCCTCCACTCATCAAGTTTCAAAGACAGTTGCTAGAATTGCACACTGAAGCCTGTAAATCTTTTGGCTCATTCTTTTGCTAAATACAGGCCTTGCCCCAGCAATTCCCAGCAAACTGAACTGCCCAGCAGTGGATGTGTTTTAGGCTTTCTGTGTCAGAGGCAGAAGTAACCCAGCATCTGCCACAGCGCGTTCAGAAACCACTCCGGATGACAAAGCACGTGCTCAGATCCACTTTCTGGGTTGAACACGCAAGTCAATGAGCTGTAGCCGGGACTCAACAATCCTCTCCCATCAAGCTGCACATGTACACTGGAAAGCAGACTAAGAATTATTCATATACTGGACATCTCAAAATCAGCTGACAGAACACAAGGATGCAGATCTTGCATGAAAAGGTTTACTTTTTAGCTTATTATTGAACCTCCATCACTCCAGCAGCTGTTTGCATAAAACCATATAGCAAAATCACTAGAGTTTGTAAAGCTGTCAGATCAGGACTAGAGCCATCTCCTAAAAATGTGGGCAGAAAAACAAGCCAGACTATTTTCTGTGTTTTTCCATATCTCAAACTCCACTAATATTCTCCACTGCTTCTTTTTAGTAAAATAGCATAATACAAGAGTAAATAGAGCTAACACAGAAATTATTAGAAGATAACACATACTCAGAAGAAGAAAGAAATAAAAGAAGGAAAGAAGAGGATCATGTGTCCAATTACTGGAGGAGAATAAAGACAAATCACTTGAAACCTGCAATTGCACCTCACTGGGAAATACATCACTATTTTAATTTACTTGCAAAGCAAGTAGGTAACTCTTAGAATTACCTTTCTTGTTTCAGATGGATATTGAAACGTTTCATCCCAACTATAGAATTGTTAAGAAAGTCTGTGAAATAAAACAAATTATTTTGATTTGCTTCATGTGAGAAAGTAATGTAATCAAGTGGTCATTTTCCTCCCATTTCAGGCAGAACCATTCCATTAGTAAGAATCCACTAAAGCAAGTGATCATTCTGTAAAAAATCCAGTGACATCCAATTTAAAACTAAGCAGAAAAATTCTACCTGATAACAAGCACTGAATAAAACCTACAGCCTTGCAATACATTACACATGTGCCAAAAATAAAAATTAAGCCCTGAACCTGCAAGCTGAAAAAAATTATCATTAACAATGCCACAATCAATGAAAGATCTGGGAGAAGATTTTTTTTTTTTTCTCCTCCCAAAAAGCCCCAAACAAAAACCCAACATCCTCACACAATGTCACCAAAACAAATTAAGAATCTCAATTATTATAAAGGGGAGTTCATTTCTGACTTTCTGATGTATCTTTTAACCCAGAGTCTAGACGCATTTCTGCACTCACTTTGGGACATACTCTTTGGTAAGAGCAAGTCCTGTGACAGCAACCTCAGGTACTGTTAAAAAAGTCATACGGACACAGGTCCATACATCCAAAGAAGATAATTAAAGGAGGAAGGAAGAAGAGATGCACAGCTGACCTGGGCTCAGTACTTACTTTGCAACAGACTTTTTGTGTACTTACAAGAGGGGTCACCTAGATTCAACTTTCCTAAGCATGGCAACCTTAAAAATATACATCCAGCTGGTAATTCATGTTTCCTCCAACACAGACAGCGACAGATGACTCTAGAAGAGTCACCCAAGCCAGCAGCAGCAGCAGTCTGGAGACGACCAATGGCACTACACACAATTATAATGACCAACGTCTGCCATCTTATTTCACCTCGTTTTCCTAACAACTTTTGTGAAAGAGGTGGAAATACTGTTGTTAATGGAATTTGCTCAGTAAGTACTACTTGGTATGGGTATAGTGTCCCTGTCAAATTCAGGTGAGGAAAAGACAGGCTTATTAAAAATAATTAAAAAGTTTTATCCAGGAAAGGTCTGTCAACGTCTCATACATGAACAGGGCAAATGGGAGCAGGGGTTGCCAGGTCGAGCACTAATCAGAGCTTTTCAAAGGGAGCCAAGTTTGCTCTCTTTTATATCAGACAGACTACTGGGAGAAGGGTATGAAATGAAGCCGGAAGGGAAATACTGTACTACTGGGAGACCATGATTGTCTCGTCAATTTAAGGCCTCCCCAGGGGGTTAATTATAGACAGGCATTTTAGAAAACATTTTCTGACTGTGCCATAAGAAGGTGCTTAGCTCGGCCAGCCTGGGTCCAGGTCCCTGTCAGATTATTTGCTCAAATCCCCAGGAATGTACCTCCCAAGAGGCAGTGATGGTCAATGTTCCATCAGCATCTCAAAGGGTTCATTTGGCCACCGGGGACATGTCCCTGATAGATCCCAATTTACCTTCCTGCACACCATTCCCAGTTAGGTTTTACAACAGTGTGGTCCTCTCCCTGCTTCTCCAGGACATCCTGCTCTGGTGTTTCTCTTCTCTGTAGCCTGACCTCTACTTCTCTCCCCATTCACAAGCCTTGGGGCACCGTATGACACTAATTTCCCTCTAGTGTGTCTTCAGTCCTCAAAATCTTGCAGATGGTTACTTTTTTAAATGAGATACCATTCAGGGGAAGGAATATATTAACTTGTATTGATAACTAAAGCCTAATTGCTATAAGCAATTATTTTTTCTTTTTGCTATTAATAGTAACACTTCCCCATCTGTATGGGAATCCTGTGGCAAATGTGAATTTGGCATGTTTCACTGAGGTCTCTGAGGCAAACACATAAATGCAAAAGAGACTTACAGACTGAAGATTCTCATCAATAGATATATTACAAAATCAATGCCAATTTCATTCAGCTTGCGATCTTTTCTGACAGTATAAACTGGAAAGCTTGCATTGATTTGAACACATGATTACTTTACTAACTTTCCAACTTAATAAATCCTAAAAAGGGGAAAATCCTTTTATTCCTCTCCATTTATTTATGGCTTGAAATGTGTGAGAATCTACAATGAATTATCAAGAAAAAAACCCCAAACTTGTACATCAATAAATTAGCCCTTCTCTCATGTGTTCTCCACTAACTAAAATAATTTGTGATTTCTAATAAACAGAAATAACCATGGAATATGAAAAAGTATATTTTACTACATTTTGCTGCCAGATAGCAATTGCATTGGGAACTATTTTGTCTAGATTTTTTTTAACTCGTATGGATTTGAAAAGAATTTCCTAAAATGCATAGTAGGAATGACTGATTATATGGGACAACATGGTTCTTTTTCACTTGTACCAACATGAATCAAGAATTCCTTATTTCACAAATAGACAAGAGAACAGAGTCAAGGATCTGCTACCCAAAGGAAAAAAAACACAGCATGATGTACAGCAATGTGAAAGAAAACACATGTGCTAAACCCAGTAGTTTACAAGTATATCACTCCATATTCAACATATGTGAGCTACTTATAAAGAGAAACATTCATCTAAATTTAGGCTGAGGGAATGGTTTAGATACCCTTTTTAAAGGACAAATTTTTACTTGAAAATTACCGTTGATAAGTGAAAGTTAAGAAATTATTCATTGATTCTGATCATGTAGTTAATGTGAGCAAGGTCAAAGTTTGCTTTCATTCAAAAGAACAATTTGTATGTTAGATTTGAGATGCAAAACTTCAAACATATTCAACTTGAGACACTGAAAATCTTGTCAGGGTTGGGGTTATTCCAACAATTAAAAAAAATAATTTTTTTTTTCCTCTGGATATTCTAAACTTCTGTCACAAATGAAATTTAAGGGCTATCATAAAAGATTTAACCGAAGCAGATCAGAGGTGGAAAATAAGTGTTGTGCATATTTATTCATTTTTTCTTGTGCTTATGAATTGAAAAATGTATTATTTCTTCTGTATAGTCAGGCAATTCCCAGCTTTGTGCAAGTCTGTCATAGATCGAGAGAAAGGAGAATAGCACTCTCCAGAAAAAGGAAGAAGTGATTTTAAACTACAAAGATCAGTTAACCTTTTAACATAAATTTTCCACTTAATCTTACCTCCAAAAAATGCTCTGCTTGCTGTTCCCGATCCAATTTTCTTGACGTTGTTGTAATCAGACCTGTGAAAAAAAGATATTTGATTGTCAATACCACTTGAAAAATATGTCTCTATTGACCAGAAGAAATAAATTCATTTTTAAAACACTCAAAGGGAGAAAATCTATTTGAAGCTATATCAGACACAGATTTCTTGACATCTGTCAAGCATTTTCTTTAGCAGTGCAGCCATTATGACTTTCTAACAATGAATCTTCAAAGAAAAATGCTGTGAGAAAAGTAACCAAAAAACAGTTAGCTGTGTATCTACAGTTACAATGCCACATTTATTACAGTGAATAAAAAAACCCCAACTTACTAAAGAATCACTATTTGTTTTATGATTAAGTGCTTCAATTTGCATTTGACTGAAATCCTTCCATAAAAAACCTCATTAAAGATTTCAGAGTTCTCAAACAATTAATAGGATAGGGTGCTGATTACTTCCACGCCAATAATACTTGACAAAGAAGGTTATTTTTGTAATAACTACTTGTATACATAATGATTTCCAAATGTAATCATTCTAATGCATTAAAGGTTTTGTACTACAATTTCATCAATTTGTTCCATGCTCAAATTGAGTCTTTAAAATAAAGTACCCTTTTACATGAGGATGATCAAGATATCTTTTTTTTTTTTATAAAGCAATGTACTTTCACAAATGATTAACCTCTTGTGAGATTTATACCAAGGAAAGAAAATGAAACACTTCCAAAGGTCCCTCAAGAAAAGCAATATGTATCTTCTATGAACATAGCCTAGTTTGATTTTTTTTTTCTCACTAGAGATTTAAAGGGCAGATTTGAGCCTTCCCTCATACAAAACATTTTCTTGGATAGGAAAATGCATCATGTGCTTGCTCTGAGATAGATTCTGAGGAGCATAAAGGCATCAACTTTTCCTAGAGATAAAGCTATCTTTGGAGACAATGCCAGTGGACAAAGTAGTTCTCAATATTTTCTTGTCTGTAAGATTACCAAGGAAGGCAAGAAAATAAATGTTCTCTGGATTACCTTTAATATTTATTTATTTAATCACATGAGCCAAACATCTAAACACAAATCCATGATGACCTTGAATTCTTCAAAAAAATAAGCAGCAACATCTTAAATCTACATAACACCTCTAATCCCAGATTTCTACAGCTACAGCTCCTCATACACTGTCACCTACTCCTTGGAGGAATCACTTAATTTATTTTGGTGAGAAGGAGGGAAATATCACTCGAAGTAATGGGATGATATGAACAAAGGGAAGTCCACCCTACTTCCAATATTTCAGGTTCATTTCAGGCTCATTAGACCACAGAAGCAACACCCAAGGGGAGGTCACAGAAATCAGAGTTGATCGTGACAGTTACGTGGAAGAACCTGGTGCTGGCAAAAGGCTGAAAAAGCAAAACAACTAGTTTTGCCTGCATCAAGCAATTGTAGGTATTCAAAACAGTAACACCATATGGGAGAGATCTACTCACTGCATGAGTTTAAACAGACTGACAGCATGGACGAAAAATTGATATCATTTACATAAGATCCCCCAGGTCTAGAGAGAACTCAAGGACACTGGGAAGAAGTTCCCAATTATGAAAGAAGTTCAGCTCTACTAAATTGATAAAGTAAAAATTGCAGATTTGAAATATCCCTGTTCATTACGTGCATGGTCAATGTGGATAACTATTGTCAACATAACTATGATAAGGAATTTGATAATTTTTATATTATCTTCCACTTTCTTTCTTCCTAATTTGCCACTATGAACTCCACCTACTTTCTTTTTAAACAAGATTTGTTTAACTGTAAATTACAGAAGTTCTCTGTCTTCATCTTCTTCAGCCAGAGGAATTCACATTTCTTTTGAAGACAAAGAGCTAACATCTGAAACTGAATGTCATTATCAGAATGGACAGTACTTGTCTTTCATTGGTAAAACTAAAAGAAATACTACTCCTACTCCTGCACCTCCTCACAGAACTAGTTATCACTAAAGGGATTTTTTTTCATTTTCCTTTTTTCAATGTAAAGTCTTTTTGACTGCAATAATGTTCAGAGTGCTTTCAGACCTGAATCTTTTTCTAAAAGAGGTGTATGAACATATGGCAAGTCTCTATGACAGAACTGCTATATTTTAAATGTAGCAGATCTTAACAGATTTAGTACCCAGACTTACCAGTCGGTCCTAAAAGGCAGGTTACCAGAACTTCAACATCAGTTCTGCAGACCGGATCCTAAAGTATGGTGCTAGCACGACTAGTTGTTTTTGCTTTAAAGACAGCTCTACTTACAACTGCCAGCTCTGGGCAGTTTCTTTAGGTTGTTACAGTACTCTCTAGAAATAACGGGCCATTTGTGTGTGCAGACATGGGACCTCTAGTTTCCACTCCTGTTCTCTGAAGGACTCTCTCATCAGACACTCTTGGTGGCCCCATTACAGTAATAGAATCACAGAATGTTGTGAGTTGGAAGGGATGCACAAGGATCATAGAGTCCAACTCCTCTCCTAGCATAGGACAATCTCAAGATTCAGACCAAGTGTCTTCTGAGGGTGTTGTCCAAATATTTCTTGAATATTGTCGGTCTTGGTGCCATGACCACCTCCCTGGGGAGCCTGTTCCAGTGCTCCACCACCCTATGGCTGAAGAACCTTTTCCTAATGTCCAATCTACACTTGCTCTGGCACATCTTCCTGCCATCTCCCCTGGTCCTGTCATTGGTCACCAGAGAGAAAAGATCAGCACCCACCCCTCCTCTTCCCCTTGTGAGGAAGTTACAGAATGTGATGAGGTCTCCTCTCAGTCTCCTCTTCTCCAGGCTGAACAATCCAAGCAACTTCAGCCTCTCCTCATATGGCTTCCCCTCTAAGCCCTTCACCAATTTAGTGGTCTCCTCTGGACACTCTCTAGTAGCTTTATGTCATTTTTATCCTGTGGCGACCAAAACTGCACCCAGTACTTGAGGTGATGCTGCACCAGTGCAGAGTAGAGTGGGACGATCACCTCCCTTGACCGGCTGGCAATGCCATGCTGGATGCACCCCAGGACACGGTCTCCTGGCTGCTCACTTCCACATACATTCTTGAAGTCATGGATGGATCACACTACACAACACTACTGTTTAAAATATGACTATACATAAAAGCAGTTCTCAACTACTTGATGTTAATATTTGTTTAATTATGGTCTCGTATTAGTATGAATGTGAATCTGGTTCTCTCAGATTATATTCCTTATTTCAAGGAATTCTGCTCCAGACCAATCGTCAGATCTGAAAAAAGAAATATATTCCAGTTATGTCTAAGGCTACTCACAGCCTTACCATTCCAGTCAAAGAATTTAATTTCACGGTTTTTATGAAAACCCTCCTGTATTCAGTACTCCATGCCATAGATACATAATAACAGCAATATTTAGCAGGATGTAGAACTTTATTTTTAGATACAGGGGCAACTGACAGAAACTTGGCTTTGCAAGAGAATACATCCCAGTTTTAGTTCTTCACTAACTGTATTAAATTGTCATAATCTGTTATGGTGTAAAGGCATTACCTAAAGAAAATAACTCATGGAGAAAAATAAACCCAAAGAAATCATGTTAGGCTGCACTACTGGTTATGATATAAAATCACAAGGGGAGTGACAAAAATGACCCTTTCTTTTTTCGTATCTTCAATATGTGCTGTAGCTCTTCTAGACACAGCCATCTGGACAACTGTCCAAAGGCAGCTGGGAAATATAGCACACATTTATCGTAAAATAGTCAAAAACAATAACAAGATTCAAAAGTCATAGCACACCTCTCAAATAATTTCTCTCAAATTTCCAGGGAAACATCATGGTCCTGCTAAGGGCAGGAGGTATTTATAGCTGTGATGATTCTTTAAGAACAGCTATGAAAGTGAAGAGGAAAACTGGATCCAACAGAAAAGTTATTTACAATAAAACCATCAGCTCACAAAGCAAGGTTATGTGAATCTGTTCCCAGCATTTCATACTTTTCTTTGAATTTCTGAGTTAAAACATCTCTCTGAGCGTCCTGGCCCATCTATTCTTCACGCCATAAAAATGAACTATATCGTGAAACTCCAAAACATTTCTTGATCCAATATTTCAGCTTGGAGATAACAATATGTTCTTATATGATTTCCTTTTCTACAATACCTGTTACTTTTGCTATTAGAGAACTTTTCTTACTCTAATAAAGGAACGGTTATTGTTCTCTTTCCATTACAGAGTTTGGAAATGCTGGAAGGTGAATAAGCTCACCCTGCACAACATGTCCTGTTACACTGCAGGACACGGTGACAAGTCCCAGCTGACACTGACTGGAGAACATCCTTCCAACATCTCACTCTACACTGTATAGGATCATCATCTTCTGCATCATCCCTCCTTTCCCTGAAAGGAAACTCAGCACATGGAAGGAGAAGAAATAGCAGCTTCCCTCACTCCATCACCTCATAATCTGGATAGAAGAACCAGAGATGTGGAGTAGGCAGTAAGGCAGATCTCCCTTACAGCTTAGGTGCAGCCGTAGTGACACAGAGGAAAGAACAGGACCAACACTAAGAAATCCTGACACTTTAACCAATAAAACAGCTTACACAATTTCCAGCCAATGCATCATCTTGGAAACAAATCACCAGTTATTAGGGCTCAGACATGTGACCAAGACATGTGAACACCACTTAGCACTGATGCTTGGGATAATGCTTTTAGCACATCGAGATGTAAAGTGGAAAAAAAAAAAAAAAAAAAAAGTGCAGTAAAAGAGGCCAAAACCCACATGAGTTATTCGCATTTGCAATGGGTGAAACATGCAGTTACTGGAGTGTAAATCACTCCAGTAATCATAGAATCATAGAATGGTTTGG